ATCTTGATTAACCCATTTCTAATAATCTGTGTAGCACCACAAGGTGGTGGCTTACCAGAAAAGATTCAGCATGTCTGACCTGGTGGCTGGCTGCATGGCGTCTGCCTCACTTCCCTTCTTCCCAGCATTCTGTTCTGTTTACTCTGCCTACCTAATTTTCTGTCCTATCAGAGGGCCAAGGCAGTCTCTTTATTAACCAATGAAAATAACACATAACAGAAGGCCCGTCTACATCACGCAGAGTGCCTTATTTACTCTCTCCTTGCTGGAAGAATATACCCTGAAAAAATATCTTAAGAGAAAAGTAGGGGTTTTTGGCCTGCATTTCCAGGGGGACATAGTCCATCTTTGCAGGAACACAGTGGCAGAGACAGGGGAGGTGCTGGTGGAAGCAGGGGGCTGGCTGGTCACGTTGTACCCATACTCAGGAAACTAAGAGTAAAGAGGAGGTAGATCTAAGCTATCCAGACTCAAGGCTCACTCCCAGTGACACTTTCTCCAATGGGGCTCCACTTCTTAAAGGTTCCAAAAGCTTCCCAAACTGTACTGCCAACTGGAGATCAAACTCGTGAGTCAATGGGAGGGCATTTCTATCCAAATCACCACAGCAGTGCCCCATGAAGGAATTTAACTTTGTGTATAGTAAGGTTGATTTTTATATAAATAAATGTATTGTAGTGTACAAATATCATATATGTATATAGAATTCCACGGTTTTCTGGTGATGTTCAATGATCTCATCTTCCTTTAACTCTGATTAGAGCATTGTTATCACACTTGCTTTCCTATGGGGCACTGAGAAGTTGAGGTGCCTGGGAAATGGGAGTCTAAATCGGTTGACCTAATCACTGTGTTTCATCTAGCTAATGTCCTAATCAATCCTTTCACTTACAGTAATACTTTTTATTAATATGAGCAGGGGTGTGGCAGCTCACTACCATACATGGCCACAGCAACATGCAAGGACATACATCAGAAAACAGCATGGAAGGCCTTCCTAAAGACACACCGTCAAAATCCTAGAAGTCATATGATTTGTGCCATGTAAAGTTTGCCAGAAGGAGATCCCTTACCATTCTGGGCAGCCCCAACTGCTGCCTAGGACTCTAGACCTAAACTAGACAAAGGATGTGATTACCCCATTAGTATTAGGTAGATAACACCCACAGTATTTTCTCAGTTAGGTTTTTCTTGTTGAAAGCTTTGGTGTGGTGTTATTGTTTGCTGGTGTGTTAGCGTTCCCAGCAGAGTGTTCTCAGGCACTTGAGAACATTTATTGAAATGAAGTGAGATGAATTTCCTCTGTGAGTCCAGCAGTTAAGAAAAGGAAGGGGAAAACAAATGTCAGGTGAAAGTCAGCTCACTGCCTTCTTCCTAGGTCCTCAAGATATGCTTGAGGACTTTGGGGGTGATGCTAAGGGCGTAGACATCTATTCCTTAATTTTTCTGCTAATAAAATGGTTCTTTATTGTTGAAGGTCAAGTTAGACAGTTAACAAATTGCCCCTTGTCTTGTCCATGAAAGCACTGGAAGTCTAGAACTGCCAAGGCGTAGACAATCCTTGAACTCTGGTGGGAGGAGACAAGGAATGGAAGCAGGGAGTTGAGTGGTTGCTCTTCCCGGGTTGCAGGGGCTGTTTTGTCCCACAGCATCCTGCGCAGTATGGCCTCCCTGCAGAGGGAGGGAACAGAGCAGAGAGGCTGTGATATCTGCTCCCCTGTCCTGTAGCCTGGTCACTGGGACTTAGAGGCTCAGCTACTGTCCAGCACAATGTCTGTGTGCATGCCTCCATGTCCCACCATGTTGATAATGGACTGAATCTCTGAACTCTTAAGCCAGTCACTCCAGTTGAATGTTTTACTTTATAAGAGTTGCCGTGGTTATGGTGTCTCTTTACAGCAATAGAAATCCTAAGACACTCTCCGTTGTTTACTTCACACAGACAAGTTCCTGACTGTGTGCTTAGTCACACACCTGACGAGGCCACTTGGACATCTGAAGGTCACAGTACCCTTGATGTTCTCAGTGCTGACATCTTAATCAGTCCCCAGACACACTCCTACTGTGGTCTATAGCCCAGGAAGCAGCTGGTCATCTGTTGAAAACAAAACTCTTGGCGCTGTTCCCTATTCCTCCCTTTTTCTCTTTTCTCCTCTTCCCTTCTTTCTGCACACCAGCAAACCCATTTGGCACTTGCTCCCAATCCTTCCAGAATCTGACCTCTTTTTCTTCTCCTGTCTCCTGTTCCAGGTCACTAAAGTCCCTGGCCAGGAATATGGCACCACACTGCTCCTCAGTTCCTTTTCCTGCCCAGAATCTCCTCAGCTTGTTCTCACTCCAGCGTGGGTTATAATGCCTCCCCTCTGCCCATTTCCATTGACTTGGTTCTCATCTTTAAAATAAAAATCACTGTCTTTATGGCTCCCTACACGGCCTCCTTTGCCAGCCTCCCCACACATTCACACATTCTTGCTAGTCTTTATTCTCTCTCTCTCTCTCTCTCTCTCTCTCTCTCTCTCTCTCTCTCTCCTGACTCATCTGCAGACAAAAGCGGCTTTTGGCCCCCATCTCACCCGAGGAATGCTTCCTCCTCAAGGTCTTTGTGCCAGTGGCTCTACACGTACCTAAGTTCTCACATTCTCAACTCCTCCAGGAATCTGCTCAGGGTTTCCTATGCACGGTGGCTGATCACCCGCTGACCTTTGCAGCTCCTCTCAGGAAGGGTGTCCAGACCCTCTTATGCCTATGCCCTGATTCACTCCACAGGCCACCTCCCCATCTGCCCCACAGTTCACCCCCCCCCAATCCTTTACCCTTCTCTGTTTCCCTCAATAGTGTGAGTGCCCAGAAAACATGGGTTTTGCTTTGTCACCGCCCCTCACATCACAGAAAACATAGCGGAATATACAAACAAGCTGACATGAACGTCAGTCCCCAGCTTTCTGTCTCACTGATGGTAGATATCGCTGTGTTTTGAGTGTTGATTCCATTTCTTCTTTTTAGGAACGACTAAGAAAAATATACATTGTTCTAAACCAAACTGCTTTCCCTTGCCCGTCTCCCCTCATGGGAGTTCACTCTGGGGCAGTTTACTGGGCTGATCTCTGCTGTGGAAATGCGGTTCTTTTCTCCCAGTAGGCAAATGCTTAGACATTACACTCCAAACACCACATATTTATCACCAATATTTACATAGCTCTGGCTGTTCATTTTACCACTAGAAATCAAGAGAACAAAATCTTCTCACATTGGACTAAGTGCTCCCTTCAGCTACCAATGAAAGCAGAGACTCTTGGGAATTATTTTCCTGGCTGAGTTTTTACTTCATGCCTAGGTAGAAGCCTTCTATTGTATATTCATGAGCTAATTCCATTTTGTCTTTGGTATAGTCTGTATCATTTGCATGAACCGCATGCAAATGGATCACATGCACATGGCATGGCCCGTCAGTCTGGCTGTTTTCTAGATCAGTTATGTGTCTATTCAAGATCTTTCCCCCAAGTACTCCGACGACTGTATTCTGTTCCAGCAGCTTCGAGGAGCCTGGGTACCCAGCAGTTCTTGCTGACCCAGCTAGAAGAGGCCAAATGATTCATTTCACGTGAAGGGACTATTACTGGGTTTCCATGTTCCCTGGCTCTATAAATAGCGCTCCAGGGAGCACTCAGCCACACAGAACATTTTCTTTGTAGTCTAGCTCGATATTTGCAGAAGAAAGTCACATGCTGTCTGGTTTGACACAAGTCACCTGTCCCTTAATGGCTCCCAAGTTCTAAACAGAGCCACCCAGAGTGTTCGCTCACAAGCAGCTTATTGTCTTCCAGCAAGCACTGTCGCCCATGTTTGTACTGCGTCCCCTGCCTGGCAGATTCCTGAGTATTCTCGTGTGTGTGTGTGTGTGTGTGTGTGTGTGTGTGTGTGTGTGTGTG